CTTTTGGCTGGAAGAATAGCTCTGGTCGCGATAATCGCCCATTGATAAAGATGGCAAAATGTCGTAGACGTGAGTAAAACTGGCGACTGAGTCTTGCCGATATTATTGCCTTGATGCCTGCCGACCTGGCAAGCTGCACTGAGTGCAGCTGGCGTTGTCCAATCTCGAAAAAAATAACGGTGTCCCACATAAACGTACAGTTCGATCGGTCGAACACATATATATACACGCATAGACAGTTTCGTAGCATTCTACCATTCGATTGACGGCTTAAGTACAACAAAGTTTCAACGACAGCACATTAGGCCTGCTTAACAACAGACGAAGCATCAGCACTCCATAAAAACTGACTAGAATGAGCAACAAACAAGAAGAGTGCCTTACAAGTGTCTCAGTACCCAATGACCGGCTCGACTACGGACGAGCAAGACGAACCAGATTAGGGTACTACTATGTGCTTTGTGAGCTGGGGTTAGATCTGTCGCGTCGAACGTCGCGGCGTTGTCGAACGTTGTCTTACTCCTCGTTACAACTGGAGAACACACGAAACGAGCCTCTGCTAAACTGCTAAACCTCTAGCAAGATCTCATGAAGTTGCCCGGATGAATCTTGCGTAAATAGCGTACATCGTGCGTGACATGCTCAAGAGGTTAGACGCCATACACCACGAGGCCAGAAAGGGGCACGGCGTAGTACACTGAACGTACTATTGATGTCAGCGTATGCTATAGCCGTGATTATGCCTATATCATTACATTCGCATAACAAAGACGTTACAATCTGAACGAACTGCTATGTGTCTGACTCATAGACGCCCCGTTTAATTGGCCCTGGATAACCTCTGTTTACTACCCGTCAGACAGTCGCCTATTGCGAGAACATCAAAACTGGACACCGTGAATACTTGATAGAGAAATTTTTCACCTCTCAATTTTTTTTTCCTTAGGAGTATTACGCCAAGAAAACCGGTTACATCTTTCTGGAGAATCAGTCTCTCTGGACGTCCTTCGAGCATGAAATTTTTACGGAAGTTAGCCGACCAAATAGGATTACTAATTTTATATATTTGCTTATTTTATAAGTTTTTTTTTTGTTCAAAACAGCTGATGCTGTCAGTCAACCCCAGCGGATGGGAAAGATAATTTTCCCAAGTCTTATTTGGTAGGCAAAACCTTGTGGTACACTAAGAATATCAAAAGGAAGATTTTGCGTAGATGCACATCCCAGTTGCGCTAATCGTACCGAAAAAATCGCTATGTTAATCCAAAGTGAACTTGTTTAGCATGCGAGTGTGCTGCATATGTGTACCTTTGTTTAGGTACATTTAAGGACATGGTAATTACTACATTGGTTAAAAATTACTGCGTACAATGTGGATGTGGCGGTGCGAAGGAAAAACGTTCCTATTCAGGCGTGGTTTGTCTAAGAAGCGTTGTGCTTTAATACAACACAGATGTCGGATTGGTATCAACTGTACAGCCAGTCCTAAAAGCCTCCCCTTATACCTTATTCATCTAACAAATGCAGATAGCAGCTCGTTGCAAGCAAGGTCTGATAAACAAAGATAGCTATTAGAATGACAAAGAATATGGTCTTTGAGGTCTACGCTATTAGCATTGATAAAGAGAGTCCGTATCAGAGTGGTCAACAAAGAAGGGCCCGCACACGTGAAGCGGTGTTCAATACCTTGACAACAGGGTGACGCGTAAAGTTTGCACTTTCGACAATTAGCTGGCATAAAATCTCAGAAACTTAAATGTCTTCATTCTATATTTTACATACCATTTTACTCGAACTCGAAGAGATGAGGAGCTCGAAAATAGGAGTGCTCAATCGTAAATAGTATATGTACTGCTATATTTAGCATAATATTCTGCTATAGAGTCGGAATTATTAGAGAGTTGTCCGTAGAAATGTACGCAACAAAAGGATCGTTGCAATTTTCATTTTTTATCTATCAATATTGGTTTGGTAAATGATACTAAAAACCCCGTCTTCTATCATTTTTTGATAAAAGATTTGTTTGTTCAGTCAGGAAATGTAATTTAACTTTCCCACTCTTAAGTGTATTTATCCATTCTCACTTTTAAAAGTAATCGTCCGCGTTTTTTTTTTTTTTTCGAGTGAAAACGTAACTTCGAACTAGTGCATTGTTTACGCTAAAAATTCTTCTGTCATTTAGACAGGCTACGTTGTCATAAGGGCTTGAAATTTGAAAAGCCTGAGTGAATGTGTAACGTGGCTCTACAAAGCACCAAATTCCAATAGACAGTCAGAAAATAATGGTTTATAATGAGAATATATGAATTTTCTATTATTTCGGCCCCATTTAATTCAAATCTATGAGTATACAAATTTAAAGTAAACAGTGATTTTTTAATACGTTAATGTTTTCGATGATGGTCAACATCAAAGGAAGATAAAAACTTATAAACCTGCTGCATACACTGATACGATCATAGTGTTGTATTCTTAAAAGTTTACCTTTTTCATAAACGTATAAAAAAGTGTATCTACCTCAACGAACCTGAGCAGTGAGAGTTCGCCTGAAGGTAACGATGGTTATCTTGTTATTTTAACAAGTGAGAACTTCAGTTCTAATATCCTATCTGCCAGTAAAAGGATATTAGTTCTAAGATAAATGCTTCTAATTAGTTTATAATTATAATATACAGAAGTTATATGTATGAATAAATGTTGAGATTATAAAGATTTCAAAGTGCTAGCAATATCAGCTTCTGTCTTAACGATTCAATCACAAACCAAATGTTCTCTAGCGAACTCCTACGAAGTTATCTGAAAAGCTTTGTACCACAGATATTATTTATAGTACTACCCAATTCAAATATAGCGTCAGCAGTTTTTCATTTGTCTCAGGAACCTAGTTTGGGAAAAAGTTTTGGTCTCACATCTCCTTGCATTTATTTGCGTATCAAATGAATGCCAATCAAGGCATTGCTTAGAGATCATCACCTATTATTGGGAAGCTTCATTTAACGGGCTCATAAGAGAAACATCTGCTTTACCTTTATCAAACACCGTTAAGTTTCTTTCCCACCTGGGTTTCTCTTCCAGAAGTAAAAAGAATTATTAAACCGAGAATACGTTCCACAAGACAAGAGCACTATTTGAAACAAACAGCTACTTACAAAATAGGCTACGAGTTAAATTTGGTATGAAAGGAATAAGGTAACCGAATAAAGAGTTTTTTTTTTCAAATTTTTCGAAATTTAGGACCAAAGATAATAAGGTTAAGGTGAACGTTGATTCTCTAAATATTCGTAAAGGTTTACTAGAAAAAAATACGACCAATTTCAAAAAGGCCGCAATTGTGGCTAGGTTGCATTGTAAGCGGAAACAAACATGTCAATGCGCTCTACGGTGCCAAATTTTGCCTCTCTCGACCATGACCACTGTTTACTAGACGCTGTCTTGCCCCGATTATAGCAGACACAGAGCACCTGAAGTCGTAACATTGTGCTGAACCTTCGGCATTTGTACGCTGTTTATTTAGACCGACACGTAAACAGCCTTGAGCAGCTGACAGTTTCGTCCTACTAAGATTCTCCTACAGATTTTTGCTCTGTAATAAAATAATGGGTGATCCACAAATGAGATAGAAAGACTTACATAACAGGTGTAAATATTATTACAGTAAAAAATGTTAGTCGAAATGGTTTTCAACCTACAATGAACACCTTTGATGAGCAAGATGTTATTATACAGGTGAAAAGAGACAGGCACAAACTGGTTCGGGTTGCTACTTATACGACTTTGACGACTATATAACTTTCTACTTCGAGAAAAGATACGCTTTCAGGCTCGTCAACTCCAGTGTAAAAATTTCAGGTATTCAAGCCATTTAAGGTGCGTTTTGATGGCTAAGGTGATAGTCAAACGCATCTTTAGTATTAGCTCGCGACTGTAGTCCAGGACGTGTTAGCGCCTGAACAAGTGAGTTTCAGGGGGGCATGTCGAGAGTTTTTACTCTAAAGACTTCTGTGTAAGTCTATTCAGACTATTATCCTTATAATGTACCGAGGATAAACTGCTGATTATGTGTAAGCTTAATAATCCTGATTTCTGTTACAACTGCTAGATATATGGCCCCTTTTTAAACGACTGTTAGCAAATTCCATAAAAATATTGCTGACAAATACTCCCAGTACCTGGCTACCGAGGCATCTTTCTAATTTGCGAAACTAGTTATTCGACGTAAGTTTTTTTCGCATCGTGTAAATGGCGCAAAGTTGCCAAGACGACAAGTAACTTTACGGGACTCGTTGTGACCCTCAAATGTTAAAATCACTATCAGTTACGGCCATTTCCTATGTTTAATATATAAAAATATGGACCTGAATTATATCATTTTTAGCCACATCATTTGGATACACTGGCTCGTTAAATAAAACGGTTGTAGCTTTGATACATAGCGCACAGTTTACTGAAAGACTGAAGAGTCGACGACATGTGGTTAGGGGACAGATCTTGTATCCCATCTTGGTTTTGATTACTTAACACTATTTTTTTTGCTAATAATAAGGTACCCAAAACCACGAGATTTCTTTTTTAGTTCCATTACATTTTTTACTGTTGTGTTTCGATGGCTAAGAAAACAATAGAGGACAACCTACAAAAACTAAGCATAATGTTCTTGGCTATTCGCTAATGTAAAGAAATGTGTGTTTATAAAGCGATGCATACTTTTACAAAAACGAACGTATGCAACGAGCTACAATATGTGGTACGAGATCGGAGGATATATAATCGATAGCTTTTACAAACGAAAGCGGCTAAGCAGTTGTCTGTACGCCCGCCATACCTAGGGACAGTTATGGGACCCGTGACGACACACCGACAAGACCTTGCCCAGCGAAAAACACGAAGGAAAACAGATCTTATTTGACGTTTATCGGTCACTGTGCAAGAACTACATTGAGCTCAATATTTTGTATTTCTATTGATAAACTAGGAGCCTCTTCATTCTATACTATACTCACCCGCCGTATACGTTGAGGCCAGCGCCACGCTGACCATGCCTCCACCAGCCCTCTGTACTCTCCGCTGAGGAGAGTTTAGTGCCATTGGATACACTGCATTTACATGGACCTTTGCTAACGCGACCGTGGTTAAATTCAGAAGGGCCTTGAGGTTACATGGCGTATGGAGGCTTGTAATCAACAGTAGAAGTAAAGGCAGTTTTTAAAGATACACAAACACCCGCACAGAAACACCAACACAATATGTTGTTGCTATTGATTCGGTATTTACCTCGAACAACTACAATTGTAGCCGTGCCTCATTGGTATAACAGAAAGAACACAAAGTATTACACAGCCTGTGCCAACAGCTAAACTATATTGAACTGCAGTGATATAGCACGTAATCCAGCGCGTACCGTTGATGGGAACGTTATCAGACTCTCGGTGTGTCAGGACGTTCGTATGACTAAAACGACACACTTCGGATGATACAATCTTATTCTCTTTCCTTTATCTCTCTCTCTCTTTCAAATCAAAACACATGTTGACTAACTAATAACTAGAACAGTCAACCCAATTCGTAATTGGGCGTTGTTTTCCTCTTCTGATCAATGACAGCCTGCATGGGTCACGGGTCTTGTGCTATGGTTCCTCGATGTCAAGACTACAGTTGTTACTTGCTATTATCTTTTTAACCAAAACTAGCAGCAAGTGGCTACCGCTTCAAGCACATCGGGTAGTGAGCATCATTGTCACCATAGTCCTGCAGTAATGGCTACACGCACCGGCGTGTTGTTGTTCATCGTGCTGCATCTCTATCGCGTGCTGCGGCCATCTGGGAGCACCAGGATCTCACCGAGCTTCTCATATGCCTTCGCGCCTCTGCTCCGAGGGAAAGGACCCGTCGGTGTGTGGCAAGGGTGCTCTACGAAGGGAAGAGTAAAACCATTGCGGGGCTCCCTTCGACTCAGCTCCACAACCCGGCTTCGGTTGCGGCAACTCCGCTTGTGGCTGGAAACAGCTCTCGGTCGTTTCAGGAGTTTGCGATAGGAGAAAGAGGTGGTTTGAGGGAAACTACTGTCGGCCGTCTTCGCGGGGCCTGGGAATAGCGATGGGGTAGACTAGTTTTGACCGAGTCAGACTACCTGCCTACCTGTCTGCTGCGTGCCTATCACTGGAGCAGTGAGTAGCAGCCGCCGTTCGAAACGAAGGGACCACGGTTGGAGCGAACGTGGCAAAGGAGAAAACAGGGAGGTTATGAAGACGGACGCGCGTTAAGGGCCGTTTCAGTTGTGTGCTGGAAAGGAGCCCCACGGCTGGTCTCAACAGTCACAGAAAAGATAAGAGACGCATGCCGCACCTTCTGCTGCCGTTGGGGAAGGTTAGGCCGATGCCGCACCTTCTGCTGCCATCGGGGAAGGTTGAGGCCGATGCTGCTGCACCACCAGCCGCTGTAAAGGTATCGTCGTTAGGGTTAACCAGTGTTCTGACGCAGGGGATCGGGGGCAGCACAGGAAAGGGAGCTTAAAAGGGATGATGATAGGAAAAAAATGAAGAAAGGTCGCTGGTAGCTACTGTATGGATACAACTGGAGAAACTATTCGGAAGTGTAGGTAGGAGTAGAGGAAAGCATAAAAAAGCGCTTTCAGCGCCCGAGACCGTTAGTTCTCGATCATTCGCACCGTTCTGAGAAGGAAATACACGGCGCACGACTTTCTGGTAACCAACAATGTCTCGATCCAAATGCTGGACGCGATTTTAAAAATCGAAGTCCATTGTTTGTGTGACAGGGAGAAAACCAATATTGTGGAGAAGGACGAATTGAAGGAGGACATTCATAATGACAGTTGAAACGAAAAAATAATGGAGAATGTTCGTTCGCAGTTGAATATAGAAGCTAGATCTCGCTGCTTTTGACACCACGTAAACATAGACCATGCGTCCAGAGGAGACAGGCAACTTTGGTCTGTTACCTCAAGTTGGCAATGCTACCTAAAAATTATAGTACTAGTATTGTCATAGATATTTCTATGACGAGCAAGCCATTCAATTGTGAACCTTGAAACTTTTAGGTGATTTCAATAACGATCTATTTCACTCACCGAAAAGTAAGCCACTCATCACCTATAAAGAACGTTAATAACACGTACAGCCGCTCTGTGGGAGGCTATCCAAAATTTAACGTTGCTTAAAATATAACTTTTATATATTCAATATTAGTTATTTAAAAAAAAAAAAAGGAAATAATTGTACGGCCTCGCTCTATTATAGATTTGTGTAACAAGGCGCTGTCAATATCAAGCACTGAAAGAGGGACATTGGTGGAATATATCTCGAAACTGCTAAATACGGCGGTAAAAATACTTTATTAACTACACCTGTTATGAAGTTATCCATCGACAGCGACTTCATGCGACCAAAAATATTCTGAGGGAATAGAGTCCACTAAGGTACAAACGAGACGAAGCCGCCATATGCAGAAGCTAGCGCCATCAAAACAGTCGACATGACAAACAGATTACTACAAGCCAAGACTCAACGTGGGAGCAAGAGTGAATACCGTTTTAAACCTAAAGGTATCCAAAACATTAATCTAGTAGACGATATCCATTTCTAACGAGGTTTATCATTCTCCCGTATTTAATTGTCAGACACTATTTCAAACATTTATTTTAAATGAATAAGTTTGAACCCGCGCAACGGCCTCAGTGGTTATTAATTGATCTAAAAGCCAGCAGATACGCGCCACTGAATAGAACGAAGATACCCACTGTTCATTGCCGCGATATAGGCGTTAGGCCGGTTTTAACATTTAAAACTAATTGTGACATCGACGACGTCCAATTAGTACGTCCACTCTGAATGCGGGGGCTGAGGTAGATGCCATCTTCAAAACGACGTTGAAGCATGGTGCTTTGTGGACTCTCATGCATACTGCAAAGGAAGTGGTCCATCATGTCGACATTCAGCAATCGCAAAAAAGTGCACATAGAGAAGTCACCTTTACTGCGGAAAATGGTCAGACGAGATTAGGTAATCCATAGTGTTTACCGCTATAGATTACCTGACTCACGACGCGGTCTTCTCGCGATGTTGTTTTCTCAGGATACTTGCTTTGTCCGGATCATGAGCTAAAAGTGAACGGTTAGTGGTAATCGCTTATCACGATAGGGACGGCGGTGCTTCACGTGCACGATGTCACGCTCAGAAAAGGTGTCGTCACCGCTTACCGTAAATAAAAACAGCAGCTTTCGTTGGGTAGCGGTAGTCATTGTGCTCCACCGTGACAATATGGCTGAAGCTGAAGAAAAGCACGAATCGGCACTCTGTCCAGAAATGGCTGCATACTATGCTGCCCGTTCCGGGGCTAAATGTGTGCGTGCTCGGCAGTTGCCGCGTAATTGCCTCAACTGCCACAAAGCAGTATGTAATCTTTAGCGTCAGTTTTCATAAATATTATGTATATCCTAATCCGCAGGTTGGCCGAAGTCGATTTAGATGTCAAAGGCCCGTTGCGGGTTTTGGGCCGTCCGCTGTTACACAACTTCGCTATTATGAACTACGTCACTCGTTCTGTCCGCCTCACCTCGGTTTACGATCACAGACGACATCGAAGCATTCGGGGATCTACCTTGTTTAGCTTCTGTTAGGAGTAACTTCCACCGTTGACATCACACCAAAGAGGGCCGTAGTGGCAACCCTGTTCGTGTTATTGCACGTGTTCCAAGCAATGTCACTCAGCGAGCTTTTGGGATCAAAGGCTCGTTGTTTTGATCTGTCAGTTCTGTACGCTAGCGCTTGAGAGGGTCCTCTGACATTGGCAATTTACGGCACCTTCACGTGTTAGACAGATGCTCTATCAAAGGAGGTCGTTTTGCTACAATTGAGAACACTGTCAAGATTTATTTTACGGTTTTAGCCAGAACGGATCTGTCGAAAGCGAGCAAGATACTATCGCTTCCATTGGTACCGGGAGTGATACGTCACGAAAAACTTGCACATCATAAATGAAGTTATGAAAGCTATGACAGTATTAGGATATAAGGTGACGGAATCAAATTCAGTTAAATCTGTTAAATTAATACGTGGGGTTACGGCAAATATATATGTTTGTCGATGTGTAGGGCAAGCACGGTCGAAGTAGATATTGCCTGTTCTGCACGATTTCCGATAGCAACTACTTTATATAGTTTTGTTATAAGCTGCGTTAAATTAAAGATCGACAATGTTGCATGTGTCTGCAGACATCTCTGGCCGACGCATTTCTTCAGGGTAGCTGCTATTCGCCTCGACAACAGATTCAACTCAGGGCGTAAACGGGTCACAAGCAATTTCGTTTTTTCAATAATCGGTCACATTTCAAATTTATGAATAATTCCTTCATAGTAACCGTAAACGACGCGACACTGGCACATTAAAGATCGTAGAAGTGCCACTCAAATACGGCACACATACAAATCCAGAGGATTTGCATTTTTGGCCTGTGCAAGACCATCACTCCCAAAAATCCAAATATTGAAAAAACCGAAAGTTTAAACGGTATTTAGCGCAAAAAATTAACCAAAAATGGTAACCACGTGAGGCTTATCGTAATGACTCAACATTGTTCGAATGTCGTCAATTGCTGCTACAAGAAAAATTCCAGCTTTATACTGAATGGCTTCATGTACCCTTTTGATGCGTTCTGAGTACATCCAATCTCGTCCCTACTACAGATATTCCGCTTGGCTTTATTGTTATCTTGTTCGTCTTTTTCGCCAGCTGGAAAGAAACTAGGACAACGCCGATGGTGGATTCTATGCAACCAACATAACTTCTAGTCTCAATAAAGGCTAATCGGATGTGAGAACACTGAAAATCGACCGATCCTATGAAGACGAACCTCATGCCCTGACCATAACAATACTGTGGTTTTGTCCGAAAAATACAACCAAAAATAGGGACTGAATACTTCAGCTTGACCTGAAATGGTTGGTACTAGATTACATAATGATATACTTAAATTAGTTTTAACAATCTAACCAATTACCTTCTGTGCTTCGATGGAACCATTTCTGATAGACCGTTCGACTTAGTCTACCTGTCCAGTTTTGGCCTAAAACTAAGGAAAACTATTGTAAAACAGCTACGACACACGGTGCTGCTATATTGTGTCTAAGTTAGTGTCAATACAACACACGCGACTCAAATCTGATTCAGAATCAAAAATAAGATAGTACTTCAACCGGATGGCCTTGGTTTGTGAGAACCAAATTAACAGGCTTTCAAAATGCGTATAGCCTTCAGTTCTACCTATAGGAACATTCACCTTTTCATTCTTGTCAAATAAATTCAAGCTACGTAGTACCTTATACGCTGATCTTCCGAAATCGGCAAAGGGAAATCCAATTTTGTTCTAGTCTGAGAACGTTACAATAGTATATTCCGAAAGTTGTTTCCACTGCAGAAAATTTTTTATTAAGATCCTGAAAAGCCATCGCCGAAATAGATACATTTCGTTATATTAAGCAGAAGCTAAGCCTGGAAATGGGTATTTCTCCATTCTTCAAAATGTTCTGGTCTTCCATCCTGCCATCTTCAAATCTTCGCAGTTCACAATCTCATTTTTAGTTTCAGGGCTATGAAACACAAAGCCAATTACGTTCATTCTGCAAATACAGCATCTGATCCATTAGAACATAAAATATACTTAACTGTTCCCCAGCCTGGTTAACTTCTTCCATTGTAAGAGAGTTGTTTTTGAGATCTCTCATACGTTAGAGTTCACTGTACCAATATTCCATTTTGGTTTA